TCCTTCCTTCCTTCCTCCCTCCCTCCCTCCCTTCCTTCCTTCCTCCTTCCTTCCTTCTCTTTCTTAATTTACTTATTTAAGAGAGAGCAAGAGCAAGAATGATCACAGGAGAGGCAGAGGGAGAAGCCAACTCCCCGCCGAGCAGGGAGCCCGATGTGGGGCTCAATCCCGGGACCCTGGGACCATGACCTGGGACCATGAGCTGAGCCGGAGGCAGACGCTTCACTGGCTGAGCCGCCCAGGCGCCCCAGTCCCTTTCTTAATGCTCCTTGTTCTCCCAGCCTTCCCGCTCCACCACCCTGCTTTTCTCTTCTCCGTATAGCAGTTTGCAAAGGGAAATCGGTCTGTACAGGGATCAGCTGCTTCTGTGTCCATGAGGGGCCTGAGGGAACTTGTTAGAATGTTAGTTTATTGTCTGTCTGGTCAGTGCCCAGAACTGGGTGCCCCTGTAATTTCTCATTCTTGTGTAGCCTGTGGATTCCAGCAGCTGAGAAAGAGGTCTGCTAGCGTCCTGCCCACCTCTTCTGCCCTCAGATTTTATGTGTTAAATGTAGCACAGACAGGGAGGAGGACATCAGAATTGCCAGCAGTTCCAGTAACATAAGGGCCTGTTGGCTGTGGGCTTTATTTCCTTCAGGGCTGAGAAGGGAAGGCAGCCCACGGGTTTTGAGCTTTTGAGATTCAGAGTTCTCTGAGGTGGACAAGGATGCAGTACAGAGCAGGGGTGCGTGTGTGTCAGAACGGGTGATGGGGATGCTGGACGGGACTGGCTCAGAGGTAGTCTCCTTAAAGTTACAGAATGGCTTGAGTGTGTTACTAGTGAGGGGAAATCTCCTGACCTAACTGTCCTCATAAACTGTGATATCGCCCGAAGGAACCGCAGTTTTCAGATTTGGGGTTCACAACCCAGTGGTTTCCCTAGCAATAAGAGAGACATCATGAGGGTAGCAATGAGCACTAAGACACCTTGTAACTTTCTGGTTTGGGTCTGGGAGTCAGTTTTAGTTCAGAAATGCCTTTGAGGCTTTTAAAGAAGATCCCGCAATCTTGGCTCTCCTGTGTGTCGCTGTGTCCTAGCGCAGGCCAGTGGCTGTTGGCTGAAGGGGGTAGGTGCCACGGCTTCCCTCCAGCCAGTGCTGACACGCCTGAGTGCTGCCTTTGGCCACGCACTGTGCTGACAAGCCCTTTCCAGGGATTTTATCTGATCCTGAGAAGTAGACGTCACTATTGTGTTTATTCTGCAGATGAGGAAACAGAAATTGGAAAAGAAGTAACTTATCCAAGGATCCACATCTAGAAAGTGGAAGAGCCAGGATTCGAGCCTGAGATATCTGGCCATGGAGGCCGGCCTCTTAGCTTGCGTGCCGTGCCCAGGCCCTGCCCTTAGGAACACGCATGCGTGCGGGATAGACAGGCGGCCCACACCCTCTCGCCCTGTCTCGCCACACCAGAAGTAGCAGTTTGCAGTGTTTACCCGCTCTATAATTTTTTTTTTCTTTCCCCTTTTCTCCTCAGGCTGCTTCTGTTCTTGACGTCAGATATGCATCTGCTTCATGAGAAACTCTGGTAGCTTTGAGCACTTGGTATGGACGACTGTGTTATCCAAGATATCAGGTATTACAAGACATCACCTAGCCATCTGCATCACATCTCTGTGGACAAGCAGCTATTACCAAAAAAGGCATACACTTCCAGTCCTGTGCTCCATCTGCCTTAATTCTGTGCTCGCTCCTCCATGTGGCGCCACTTCCCAGAGAGCCCCTTTGCATCTCTCACACTCTGCCTAAGTGCTGGGGAGTCTTCGTGGCCTGCACGCCTCCTGTGACTCTGGGGACCCCTCCCCAGTCGAAGCTCCTGAGCCCCACCAATGGCAGCTCTGCCCAGTCAGCAGCTTCTTCAAACAGGTAGTCCACTTGGAAGGCACGACTCTGTTCCTGCATGGCCTGCAACTTCTACTTTGTGCATAATGTAATTTTCAGAGTGACTGTGACCCTGTTGGCCTTTTAGAAAGTTTCTCTTGTTCTTTTCTGAGGCAGCCACCTAAGTGATATCATGCTTCTTTGGAAATCACAGTATACTGGCAGACTGCATTATAACCTCCATTGTGCCAAACGTCCTGAGACAGCTCACATTTCCCCAAACATTGGGTGTAATTATGGTTTGTAAATTTATCTGGCTTAAATCTCGCCCTTCTCCCTTCCCAAGTGGTAGAAAGCTCATTCACAGCAACTGTCCTTGGACACTAGCTTAAAGGGAACGTGGACCTCAACACTTTCTGCCTTCAGCTTTCAGCATTGTAATCCCAGGACGGGAGCCAACCCTGTCTTTTTGGATCCCCCCCACCCCACCATCCAACTCCAAGAGATGCGGTCCATACCACTGTACCTGGTGCTTGTGCATTGGAATTGGTGCCTTCTCCTTTTGGCAACCATGTTATCAACCCTTTTTCTGTTTTAGTGTCTTATTTCTTCTTTAAAGTTTATTGCTTGCCAAAGATAACATCACTGAGATTAGGAGACAGGGGAGAAATTGCTGCAGATTCTGACAGAGTGCAGATTTTAAATGTCAGGTTAGCTCAATAAGGGTATTAGAATAGCTGGTGAGGGTTTTGTAAAAGCTACACATTGTGTGTTCCCCGTTCTGTTGGTATGCCTGGCCTTCTACATGTCACTCCATACAGCTTTTTTTGTCCTTCATATACTGATGTGATCATATAAACACCATTCTTTCTCTTTTAATATTATAGTACAGGACAGAGAAGTGATCAGTTTATTGGCTCTAGTAAGACCAAGACAAAAAGAAACAATGTACAAAGTGGTCTGTAATGCCTTTTGGTTGGACTGGGAACAAGTTAAATGTTTCTAATAAATGTTCTGAGATTTCCAGAATCACTTATTCTCGTACCAGACTCTGGACCCGCTGCGGGGCTGAGGGATAGACTGTCAGACTGTGTTCTCGCGTAACCTGTGTCCCGCCCACGGTCAGTCCAGCCTGCACTAAATATGTTGAAGGAGCTTTTGTTGTTGTTTTGCATCATTTAAATATTTTTCCTGCTTTCAATACCAAAAAGAAAAAAAATGCAGATGCTTTAAGGCACAAACAGAATTCTTAAGAATTTAAAATATGCAATTAAAATTTGATGTGTTTTGACGCCCAAGCACCTTGCCCCCCCCCCCCTTTTAAAGTCAGCTGATTGTCTCTTTAGGAAGAAGGTCAGCTAGAAACCTAGACTGTTTGGAATTGTATGTTTTTAGAAATCTGGAGAAAGGTCATTCACAAGGGGAGTAAAATGGGACTTTCCCGACTTTTGTCATCTTCTCCCCTCACAGGGTGTCTGTGGGTCAGGTAAGAGCGTGTGAAGAACGGTGTCTGAGGAGGCCAGAGGGCAGTCACAGCTTGCTGCTCCCACCTAGACGGGGTAGCATAATAACACTAGTCATGAGGTAGGGTTTGTTTGGGCTTGTATCGTAAGCCAGCTGTGTAATTGGAAAATGGCAGGTAAACCATGGAGAGGAGGTGGCGAAAGTTTTGCACATCGTTTAAAGGGGACACTAGGCAAGAAGCGAGGCCGTAGGTTCTCTTTGCTTCTCAAGGCCTCCTTCCTCTTTATGGAAGCAGCAGGCAGTTTGCTGCAGTGGGTCTCGTTCTGCCAGCAGATCTGTTCCTCTCTGCGTGCCCGGGCAATTCTCCTTCTGGCAAGGTGTGAAAGCCCCATGCTGGTTCCTAGGGAGCGGGGCAGGCAGCACGGCAGGGGCGCCGGGCCCCTGGGTGTATTCTGCACCATCCCCTCACGGGCTCACCCAGTGCTGAGGAATCACTGCGGCCAGTACCCGAGGCCTGCCACAGCAGCCCGGCGCTGGCTTTCTCCACCAGAAGGGGGCGTTGTTGTTGTCATTTGCCAGAAGGAAGAAAGATGGTTGTTTTTGCCAGACTCCTTCCTTGTAGTTTCAAGCATAACGTAGCACTGTGTTTTAAACTCTTTCATTACACTGTCTTTTCAGTGATGTTGTAAATGCAAGAAATCACCTAGCTTTAAAAGCTGAGTGATTGATCTTATTTATGTGAAGCCCCTTTTTTAACATATCAAGACTTCGGTGCATCAGCAGGTCGTGTTTGGATGTATAAGGGTCCACAGTGACAACTGCTTCGGATGCAATGTTCACTTAAGCTTTGTCTTCTTAAAAATTGATCAATGTGAATGTCATAATTATATATATATTTTTGTGGAAAATTTCTCCTAAGTATAAGTTATTGTGCAAAATATAGTACCATTGAAGCAAATGATAGTTTAACTTTTAGTTTAGAAATCCTAAAAGATATAAATTGTACTGCATATGCATTAAAAGTTTGTTTTATTTAATTTTATGTGGGTGTGTAAAGTGTTAGGTAAAAATTGTTTTCACTTATCCATTTAAACACCTTGTTACTTGAATATTGTGCTGACTGGTCTGAACCAGCGATCGACCCTGTAACATAGCTCTTTTGGCCAGGAAGGCCGTGCCTCAGTTGTGCTCACAGTCAAGTGTCGGTGCCTGCAGGGGCCGGCAGTTAGTGTAACACACCCGCCATGTGGTCTCGGGGTGTCTGTGCCCACCAGGACACCAGTTCCTCAAAATGGTTTTTGATAGTTTTTAACCTATACAACCCTTCGATGGTCACCAACCTCTCTAATCAAAAAATGAAAACGAAAAAATTGTTGCGTTTTACAAGCTTACTGTGGTGGACTAATTAAGCAGTTGTTTTCTGTGTATAAAAGTTCCCTCCGATACCACACACCACTCTAAGTGTGCTCACTGTCACTTTAAATTTCAGCTATGCCCTATTTTTGTCTTTCTAAATATCAGATGTACTATTGGTATAATTGCATACCAAAAATAAGCCAAACAGTGCATTACACTAACTGGATCCCTGCTAACGGAGCCGAGGAAAGACGGAGCCAGTTCACACGAGAGCCTCGCTTCCTCTCTCGTCCAGCCTGCGTCTAAGCCCAGTGACCCAGGATCCAAGCTTTCAGTATCAGGTGAAACTTGGCTTCACATTGACTCAAGGTAGTTAGCTAATCTGAATCTAGTGATCTTGTGCAATGCTCACAAACAGATTCTCTCTCCGCCCCTCCCTGGCCCCCTGCAGCTTTCCCTCTTACACTAAAGCACAATTGCGGCAATGTTACGATTCCGAAGAAGGAAGGTCCGTAGAGTCTATGCATGTCGTGTGATAATGAGTGTTTACAGTCACCTTCTCCGAAAACTAAAATTCTTACTGGAGTGGATAGTATTCCATTACGTAGACCTATCAACTTTGCTAAGTGCTTTTTAGATTGCTTAAAAATTTTTCAAGATTTTAAAAGATGTATAAGGTTAAGTTTGCAAATATAATGGAAATGCTGTATATCTTTTGAAGTGATAAAATCCATGTTGGAATTTTAAAGAAAATATGTTGTAATAATGCTGTTGTAAGTAATATTTTAATGTCTCTTTTTGCCTGTTTTCTATATCAGCACACTCATTGTGGTGAATGTTCATAGCATTATAATTGCTTAGCCATTGAATGATAACATTTGTTAGTGGAGATTGAAAAATTTATTTGTGAAATTCTGCAGAATTCATTTTTCTATTTCTAATATTTGCTGAAGTTAAATAAAAAATTTTCAAGCCATTGATGTAATAAAATAGATAAAACCATTTTCTGCACCCTCCCCTTTCCATCAAAGCAGTGCCCCGCGCTAATGCATAGTGGGGTTTTGCTTTGGGCCTTGGGGTTTCAGAGCGTAGACACCCCCCAGAACTACACCCTTGGAAGCAGCCACGGATGCCTTCTGTGTTTAGCCTTTGGCTCGCCTTGAACTGCATTTTTTTTTTTTAATGTACGATGAACTTACAGTTGGGACCAAGTTGAGGTACATGAATTCATAAAAGTTGGCAGCTGTTGAGGGCTTACATTTTAAGGTTCAGTGAAAGGACATTTTTTTCCCCATTAGTGGTTTTTCTCTTTTCAGCGTGACCAGGCTTGACACCTGGATGCTGGCCTCTGCATGGCCCTGGACTGTGGCAGTGAAGAGGTGGACTACCGCCTTGTCACCTCTGGTCTGCCGAGAGTGGACACAGCTCTGACCTCAGCACCTCCGAGTGGTATGAAGAACACTCTGAGCACCCACCTACTGGCCACCTCTGCCATCTCCTCTTTTGTAGCCAGAATGTAGGATCTGGCTAGAGAACTGCTAGAAAAACCTGACTTCTGAATCCAGCGTTGCTTCGGGCAGCATTTAAGATACGCAGATGGGGTCCCTCTCTGTGTGGGACTTGGCAGAGGGTAGAAGGGGGTTCGCAGGACACCTGTGAGAGTCCCCCCCCAGTCACCACGCTCGGCGTCACAGGAGAGGGCGCCGGGTGCTGCCGGAGGGTCTCTGGGTGACACCTGAGGGTAGCACCCAGGAGGGGCGGACAGAGGCTCAGAGGCCACCATGCGTGACTTGTGGAGGTGCCTCGTGGTACCGAAAGCACCCTGGGCTGTCCTGCCAGGAGGTGGAAGGAGGGAAACTGAGGGGGAGTGCAGGCACG